GAAAATTATATATTGTTTTGCCTAAAAAAAACAAGAAACTATATGCAAATTTTGCTTAAATTTAAAAGGGAATGCAAACACACACACACGCTACTTTTAGTGGAAGAAACTTGCTTTCTTTTATTTACAATTAGAATTCTTATATATATATATATATATATGAGCATTTCAACACTTCCTACTTCCTCCAGCTACGCCCCTGGCGTAACCACAGTATATTAGTAATTTCCAAGACTACATGTTTTAATTATTCCATGAATTTCTTCACTCTCTTCTCCTTTTTACGTCTAATTTTTTGTCACTTGTATTTCTGCTGCAATTTTAGTTTTGATCATAATAAATACAGACACTCTATTCTGTTTGAAATACAGGTTACTTTTAATTACTTCACAAGGATTAAAGAAAGTAGTTAAAAGTGGTTTGTATCACTAAAATAATCAAAAGAATATAATTACTTGTCAAGATTACCCTCGAATTATAACGTGAACTCATCGTTTCCTTTCCAAACAGACACTAAAAAAGCATACTCATTTTCAACACAAAGCAACATATTATATTAGATTCACTTCTAATAAAGGCTGGTCTAGCTAATAAAAATTTGACTAATAACCTATAAGATAGTGTGATGAATGTGAGGACTTTATTGTTAGGTAATTTATAAATACTTCTATAAAATCTTTGAATACGGAGGGCCTTAATCTTGATAAACCCAAAACTAAACTCATCTAAAACTTTTTTCTTTTTTACCAAACAAAAGAAAAAATTAATCATTCAGTTCTTATAGTTTTGATCTAATTGTAATGTAGTCTTTAAACTTTAACTTATTGTAACTCATTTCTTATAATTTTAATTTAATTGTAACTCAATTCTTAAACTATACCTTTTATAATTTAGTTTCTATACTTTCAATCACTTAAATATTAGTCACTATATTTTTTAACAAAATTATAAAGATTAAAATATTTTAAAATTTTAATGTTTATAATATTTATAAAGATTAAAAAGGTTTAATAATTTAAAATATTAGTAATAAATTTTAACACAATTTTAATATTTATAATTTTATTACTAATGTTATAAACCTCAAAAGTTTAAAATATTATAATTTTATTTTTTTCAATCTTTAAATATTATAAAAATAAAAATTTAAAATATTTTTAATATTTATAATTTTATTTTTAAAATATAAGGATCAATATTTAAAAATTAAAACTATAAAAACTAAATCGTAAAAGATAAAATTTACGGATTGAATTATAACTAAGTTAAAACTATAAAAATTAATTTACAACGAGTCAAAATTTAAAAATTAAGTTATAATTGAGTTAAAATTATAGGAATCAAATGATTAATTTTAAAAAAAAAATCAGTTCTTGATATTGTAATCCACTAATCCTAACTAGTTGTTTTTTTTTTTAAATAAGAATCCTAACTAGTTTCAACTTCGAAGCCTGGAATTGTATTATAGGTTTAAAGCCTGGGCCTGCTCGGCTGATCCACCAGTTCATCTTAGTAAGGCTTTTATTTCTTTTGTTCAGGTTAGAAGGGCCTTTTCCCAATTCAGGCAATGTACTAAAACGTATTAGGTTTATGAAGTCTCACTCTCACACTTTCACCCTTGAGTATTGTACATTTTAGTTTTTTTTTTTTTTTAACCACAATTCAGGCAATGTAATATAACGTATTAGGTTTATGAAGGCCCATTGCTTGTGTGAGCGCTCATTTTTAAGTTATTTCGGTTTTCTACTAAGGTTAATATTTTTAGAATGTATAATTTTTTAATTATATTTAAAAGGTTAAAAGTATACTTTTAATCCTGTAACTTTATATAATATTTTAATTTCAATTTAGTTCTTTAATTTTATAAATTATCTTTTTAGTCTTTTAATCATAATATCGTTAGCTTTAAATGATTATTTTTTGTACCAATCATTGTTATTTTAAAATAATTAAACTTAATATATCAACATTTTAAAATATTTTATCAATATTTAAAAGTTTAATATAAAAATTTATTTGGATAAAACTAATAATGTTGAGGTTCAAAGACTAAAAAGAAACTTTATAAAGTTAAGGGGTTAAAATAAAACATTGTGTAAAATAAAGGATTAAATATATATTTTAGACTATTTAAAATATAAAATTAGTCATTTAGTTAAATAGATATGAGAATCTGTGTGCAATTGTGTAGTAAATATTATACTCTCTCTATCTTAAATTATAAGACATTTTTGGATAAAATTTTATATACCAATAAACCTCATTAAATACACTTAACAACCTTATTTTTTTAAAACAAAAATATAAACTTTTAAAAATACCTATCATTTAATACATTAAAAAGAGAAGGGACGAAAATTAATTATAGAGAAGGAAAGGATAATACTGAAAATGAAACATTTAATAACACATTAATTTACTCAAAATGTCTTATATTTTTTGAACGAAAAAATTTATTTAAAAATATCCTATAATTTGAGACGAAGGGAGTATTATGAATTACCTCCTGTCCATAATTAATGGCCTTGATGTTTTCAAAAATTATTAGAGAAGGTTTTGAGACTATACTCTCAAACAAATTGGAGAATTCAAAGCCCTACTTGCTATCTCACATTCAAATTTCAACTCGAAATGTTAATTATACGCAATAAAAGTCTTGACTACATTAGACAAGGACATGATTCTACTTGATTGTGAGAGATAGGATAAAAAATCTAGTGGTTTCTAGAAATAAGGGCATTATTCCTATTTTTATTTTTGAAAACAAAACCAAAAAAGCTTGCCAACTTCAGTTAATCAAATAGTGGCTTCTATGATGTTCTGAAAAGGGTAAAAGTAATGGTCAGCTCTTGTGATTATGGTTATGGCATGAACACAATCGTAAAGGATTTCATGGATCAAGAATACCTTATTTAAAAAATACCAAGAATCTCATATATATCCAAGGGAACATTCCCCAAATTACAACAATAACCTTAGATCCAATTTTTGGTATTTAAGAATATCGCCACAAGCTCCAATTCCATCAAGAAAAATGAAACCTATATATAGTTTCTAATTTAGTATTCACTAAAGCTTTCATAAGTTTGCAAAGAGCATGTTTACTAATAGTTTAACAATTTTAGGTGGTGTGCGTGGCAAATGCAATATTTGATTTAATTGGTTATTATTATAGTAGTAAACCCAACATTGAAAAGAAAACAGAAGCAACTCTTAAGGAATATAACTGAATCAGTTTGCGATAATCTTGAAACCATCCCCACATCTTCTAAATTCTTTAGTTATCATCATATAATAAAATATTTATTGTCAATATCAAATATGAAATCATTCATTTGTCATCCATATTGATTAGTCCCTTGCATGATTAGGATTGCCAAAAACTTTAAAAAAAAAAAAAACAAAGGTATGCAGCAAGAACCTGGGGAAAAAAAGACAAGGATATAAAAGGCTTCAACTAGAGTATGAAATTGATAAGAAATGATTAGAAGACAATAATGGTCAAGGCCAGTATGCAACGAGAAAACAAATTATTTGGTGGAGTCCTATTGGTTTATAAATATAGAACCTCATCATATTCCAGGTAAGAATCGAGTTAATAGGTTAGTTGAAAAAATTGTTGACAATTTTATTAAAGATTGTTATGTTTAAGATTAAAAAAATATTATTTTAGTTAATTAAATTTGAGAGAGTTATTAGGAAAACATTGAAGACCAATGTAAACCTGAGGTGTGTTGGAAATAATTTACTTTCAGCTGATTTTTATAAGCTAATTAAATCCTGCCTGCGCTCAACAACTACCTCATGTTTAATAAACCAAAGTCACTTCTTTTTTTTTTAAGCAACATGTAAAAAATATTTAGTATACTATATGTAAAAACAAATGGACTCTAAATCTACTATACTATATATATTCCCTCCATTTAGTATTATAACATTTTTTGAAGCAACATGTAAAAAATATTTGACATTTTGAGTCTTTCAAGTTATAATTAATAAGAAAATTTTAAAAGTACCTTTGATTAGATGTGTAATTAATAAAATTTTATAATTAAAATAACATATTAAATAAAAATAAATATAAAAAGAATGTATAATTTTAAATATCGTATAAATTAGTTAAAGTATTTTATAATACTTAATGAGGAGACCATATATTTATTTGCAATCCGTCCATGAGTAGTGTTGTTGTAGTAGATTATGTTTGCGTTTTATTTTTGAGACAATAGAATTTTCAATCCTTTAAATTTGTCTCAATTATTAATTTAATATTTTCAGTTTAATTTTTATTTCTTTATGTTTTTTTTTTAAATTATCACATAAATCCTTTAAATTTTAAAACACAAATTAACTCTCAAAATAATATATATAGTATGCGAAGTAAATTAATAATTTGCTATATATATGTAGCTAAATAACAATGAATAAACCCTCAAATTAATTTAATTTTTATCAATATAATCTCTAACATTGTGGGTTGTTTTCTTACTTTTTAAATTTCAGTCTGTCTTTTCTAATTAAATAATTATACTTCTTTTTATTAATCTATATGATTACAATCAATATTATGTTATTTATATTAATAAATTTTACATTATCTCTATTTTAAACAACAATGACTAAATCAATAATTAAAATAAATTTAAAAAATTAAATGGATAAAAATTAAATTTAAAAGATCAAATTAATTATTGCAACAAATTTAAAGAACTAAAAATTATATTATCTCATAAAAAATTAAACAAACACAAGACAATGTATATTCAGGCTCCAAGCTTATTCTCAAAACTCAAGCATTTCTTGCTATGAAAGTGATATCACAGCGTATGTTATAGGTTTTAATTGTATATTTATATATTAAAAATAATAAATATTGATATTGATATACTAACTTTTAATGTAGGTCAAAATAATAATGCACTTTATTTATTTTGAGATTCCAACGGAGGCAAATTGACATTATGGCCACATATTTGTCTTGCTTTATTACTCCCTCGTTTCTAACTTCCTCTGTTCTGCTTCATCCCCACGCCATCTCTCTCTCTCTCTCTCTCTCTCTCCACCCCTCAGTGTGCTTCGTCTTCTCCATATCATATGGCTGATTACAGAGATATCCCTATTCGATCAGATGAGACAGCCATGGCTGCTCATAGCAACATCATGAACAGCAACAATCAAAACCCTTATATCAACGTTACTACAATTCCCACTTCCCCTGCTAACTACAAGAGTGAGTGATTCCCATGAGATTTTGTTCACTGTACTTATTCCTTCTCGTTTCACTTATGTTTCTCTCTCTCTCTCTCTCAATCTCTCTGTGTGTTACGATTTTTCAGCTTCTAATCATATGAATACTATACACGGTGTGTTAAATCAGTGTGGCAAGACTTTTAAGAAGGCAACTAAGCAAGCTGACAATTTCTGGAAACACAGTGAGTCTTTTTTGTCTTCACCTACTCTATATATGAATTGAAGTGGAAAATGAAACATGAGAAACCCTAGATTGCTTATGAAGGCATGAGGACTAGAGCAGAACTTGGTGTGTGTAATTGTTATTGATTATGATCACAGTTAAAGAGCTTGAGATGAAATGGTCTATACTGGATATTTAGAGCATAGAATTTCAATATAAAATAATATTTTCTGTTCTTTTCAGTTCAGTTTCACATTTTGTTCTCTCACTGTTCTCTGAGATTTATAATCTAGATGCTGCTTTCAATCGTGTTTCTAAAAACTAAGCTAAGCCAGACTTGATAGTTGGACTGTTGACTAGACTCAATAACGGCTTGTTTTGGACTGACTCTGGTTCAACTGATTAAATGAAAGACTCGGCTGGTTTTAGATGTTAATAATTTATTTTCGTGACCTTTGGACTCTGGTTTCAAGCTCAGTGGATGAATTTATGTAATGTTTAGTGGGTAAAAAAGTCAACCTTAACCTTTTGCTTAAAGGGGTGGGAGATGATGAAAAATAAGCAGGTTAGGTTTAAGCTTGGTTCTATTTTTATTCTTGTTACGTTGTTGCCTTGTACTGTTTGGTTTCGGTACTTAATATAGTTCTATTAAAAAAATAGTATGTAGAAAGGTGTTCTCTAAAAAAAAAAAAAACAGAGACAAAAATGAACTCATCATCTCATCCCATTGTTTTCTAGGTACATTTTTCATTTACTTTTTAGAGAACACTTTTTCGTATACTAAACATTGTCTTTCATTGTTTTGAAATTCTGAATTAGTGGAAAATATTTTCCATGTGCAGTCAGGTTGGGCTCAAATCCAGCTGATGCGGCAATGGCTAGACTTGTTGAAGGAACAAAAGTGCTGACATATGGAGGGTATGATAGAGTATTTGAGAATACATTTGGGATAATGCAAGGAGAGAAGCTGTTAAAGCAATATGCTTGTTACATATCAACCTCCACTGGACCTTCAATTGGAACACTCTACATATCAACAAAAAGATTAGCTTTTTGCAGTGACTATGCACTCCGTTATTACCCAGTCTCACCTCATAATAGTCAATCCATATACTACAAGGTACTTCTTGCTTCCCTTTCTATTTTTCCTCAAAAGTAAACTCTAGTTCTTAGTATGCTGTCATTTTGATCCTGGCTTCTTGCATATCAGTGGATGTATATAATTGTCTGCTTGTTACATCAATATTCAAGATACAAGGAAGAACAAGAAGACTTCAAGATCATAATGGATCAAACAGCTTAATGTTTCCTTCTTTTTTTTTTTTTTTGAGCAGTAGCTTCTAGCAACTCCTACTATCTGACTTTGAATTGCAAAATTTTAGTACAACAATTCTCTACTAGTTGAGACTGCCTAGATTTGTTGAGAAAAAGGATGACGATAGAAGCTTCTCAAGTTAAGCAAAATGATCCCATGTAGATACTGCCTGGTAATATGATAAAGGAATCCTTGTTTGCATACTTTTCAAATCTCAGGTTCTAGCATGTAAAGAATAAGTTGAGAAAGACTTGTGGAACTGATGGGTCTTTCTTAAATATTGATTTGGCACTTTAAACACATAACTCTTGTCAGCAATGAAAGTAGGTTTTGAAGACCGTCCAAATTGAAATATTAAACTGCTCATGTCATGAGTAGGAGTATCAATGATCAAATTCTTAGAACCTGTTTGGTTGTTGTAAAGAAATGAACTAGAATGGAATGGGTTGATAGAGAGTAAAATAGATTAAACTAAGGTTACAGATTAATAGAGAGATGTGAACAAAGATTGATGACTTTATTTATATCAATGTTCATTCCTGCCTTTCAGGACATATATTTTATTATTTACCCACGCATTTCATTTCTTTTCAACAATCAGATGATCTCTTGATCACTAAATCTTTGCCTTAAAAGTTTTACTCTCTAATGTTATATTTGATAATATAAGATTCTAATTATGAATTAGATATGCAGGTGGTAGTTCCAATAGAACAGTTGAGCAGGGTGAGTCCTTGCTCAAGTAAATGGAACCCTTCAGAAAAATACATAGAGGTTGTCACAGTGGATGGCTCTGAATTCACTTTCATGGGTTTTATGGCATATGACAAGGCTCTCAACACTCTCAGTGAGGCCTTTCAACGTCGCACCCATTCCACTGGAAATTGAATGCTCTCTTGTTGTAACAATGTACTTGCCTCATAAAAACACACTAATTTATTAAGTGTAAGGGATTTGATGTTTCTTTAAGAATTTTGCATCTGGTTGATGTCTTAGTTATGTTTTATTTTATATGAAATATGTCATTATTGGTTGGTTAAATTATATGAAACTTCTTTAAACGTTCACCTATATGCAATTTTTTTAACAAAAGTACACATTTAATCTTTTAACTTTATATAAAATTTTAATTTGGTCTCTTTTTTTTATAAAATATATTTTCAATTTTTTAACTCTAATTTTGTTAATCTCAAATGATGTTTTTTGTACTAATTATTATTGTTTTAAAAAATTAAATATATAATATTTGAGGATATCTTGTCAATATTTAAAAGTTTATTGTTAGCATTTATTTATTAATGGAACTAGTAAAGCACATGTGCTTTATACAATAGTAGTATTTTTAAATAGATGGTAATGTTTTAGGAAAATCTTTCCCGAAAAAAATAATTTGTAATGAGCACTTTCTTCATATCATTCTTGTATAAATGGATGCAATGCGAAGTAGATTAACAAAAAATTATAATTATTTAAAATAAATCATGAAAAAATTCCCTATAAATGATATTAGAATTTTTATTTGTGGAGCATCATCCTCATCAAATGATCAAAATGAAACCTTATGTGAAATTAAAAGATCAAAACATACTTTTACCCAATTTTTTTGACTATTCAAATTTAAAATTGCTCAATTGTAATTTAATCTTCGTAGTCTTAACTTGGTTGTAATTCAATTTTTAAACTTTGTCTCTTGCAATTTAGTCTTTATAATTTCAATCATTTAAATATTGATCATTATATTTTATAAAATAAAATTATAAAGAGTAAAAATATTTTGAACTTTTAGTGTTTATAATATTTATAAAGATTAAAAGGGTTTAATAATTTAAAATATTAGTAATAAATTTTATAATAATTTTAATCTTTATAATTTTGTTACTAATGTTATAAATATTATAATTTTAATTTTTTAATCTTTAAATATTATAAATATTAAAAAATCAAAATATTTTTAATCTTTATAATTTTATTTTTAAAAATATAAGGATCAATATTTAAATAATTAAAATTCTAGGGACTCAACTGCATAGGATAAAGTCTAGGAATTAAGTTACAATCAAGTTAAAACTATAAAAACTGAATTATAATGAATCAAATTTTAAGAAATAAGTTATAATTGGATTAAAATTATAGAGACTAAATGATTAATTTTTTAGAAAATAAAATCACTTATTGGTATTGTAATCCACTAATCCTAACTAGTTTTTTTTTTTTAAATAAGAATCCTAACTAGTTTCAACTTCGAAGACTGGAATTGCATTATAGGTTTAAAGCCAGGGCCCGCTCGGCTGATCCACCAGTTCATCTATGTAAGGCTTTTATTTCTTTTATTCAGGTTAGAAGGGCCTTTCCATTTCAGGCAATGTAATATAATTATATAACGTATTAGGTTTATGAAGTCTCAATCTCACACTCTCACCCTTGAGTATTGTACATTTTAGTTTTTGTTATTTTTTTTAACCACAATTCTAATCACTTAATGGTAACGGTAATTCAAGGCCATATGTAACATCCCAATTTAAATTTTAATAGTTAATTTTGATTAATAGAAATTTTAAAAAATATTTAGAGATAAGAAAATTAGTAGAAAATGATTATTAAATCTAATTTAGGATATAATTCTAAATTAAAATAAAAAAATTAATTAAAAAATTATTAATTAATTAAAAAAAATAAATAAATATTATTAAATTATTATTATTATTATAAAAAGAAAGAAAGAGAAAAGGTATGAAAAAGAGGAAGGAAAGAAAGAAGAAAATGCAATCGGTGGCTTTCGGCGCATGATTACGTATAAAATAATAAAAAAAAGGAGAAGAAGAGAGAGGAAAGAAGAAATAATAAAAAAATGTGAAACCCACTGAATTTTTATAAAAACTCACCTGTTTCCTTTGTTTCTTCACTTCTTTCTTTCGTGCGCGAGCTGAGGCAGAGTGAGCGTGAGTCGCCGGTGTGGGAGATCTGAGTTTTTAAGGTAAGAGTTTTTAATAGGATATTTAGGGTGTGATTTTAAGCTTTTCAAGACTAAGTAAGTATTCTAAAAAAATTTTCTTAGTCATCCTTCCTCTTTGATTTCTGATTTTATGGTGGTAGAAAATTTAGGATCTGGAAGAGGGATGAATTTATGTTGAATAAATATGATTTATGAGGTTGTTAGTAGTACAATAAATGTTCTAGAGTATAAATTTATTGATGATCTTTGAATTTATGACTTATGGATCAAATTCTAAACTAGATCTAAAAATATATGTTGATTTATTGAGATTTAGATGATTATTTGGGATGAGAAATGAATTATTATGGCTATAGGATTGTGATTCTAAGCTAGAGACTCAATTTTTAATTTTTGAATATTTTAGGTACGAATTTATGAAATAAAAAGAAAATTTTGATAATAGAAATTAATTTAGAAGTTAATTTTTAGATTATTAATGTTTATTGATAATTAAAAGAGGAGTTAAAAATTTTACTTAATAGTATTGACTCTAGATTTGTATTAAGATTGAGATTAGAAATTATGTTATATTTTTAATTCTATTATTAGAATTATTTTATTAGTTTCAAAAATTGAAACTAATATTTATAAATAATATGTTATTTGTAGATTGTATTATTGGTGAAGATTGTGGTGGGAGAGAAATTATAAGGAATAATTTATTGAAAAAGCCACGAGGTAACCATGCTTTTAATTTGTGATTAGTGTTACTTCATGTTAATTGGGTGATTATTGAGAAAATTATGAATTTTGTAATATTATATAATTGTGCAATATTATTATGAATTTGTTTGATTATTGTGGGAGGTGTTAGGAGACTTGCTATTGTTGTTATATTTATGTGCCACGTGGTACGCCCTTATTGGAGCTCAATAGGTGGCTTGTAAGGGCTCAGGCTAATCTACCTTTGGCCGGGTAATTTAGCACCGAGTGAGGGCTACGGCTCGAGGTTAATGGAGGGATATAAGGATGGTTATTTGTGTGTATTGTAATATTTCTTATATTTTGTTGGAATTATATTATTTTTGGTTCCCACTTAGTAAGCACACACTTAACTGTTTGTACACATTATCATAAATTGGCTTTGGTTACTGAGACTTTTGAATCTCATTATGTGGTTAACAAATTTTCAGGAGAAGAGTCATGAGTGACACGTGGAGGAGTCCCAGAGGCTTAGTGGCATAGATCCACTGTCTCTTTTGGGTATTTGATTTATGATTTATAATGTTTTATATTGCCAATATTAGGGCTTTTTGTTTATTGTCAATTATATGAATATATAAATGTAATCATGCCTTTCAAACTATTTCTATTTTTGGTACAATTTGGATGACTGTAATTTTAATATTTGATTTACTTTAGATTGGTTAAAATGGTATGATTATAAGGCCAAATAACTGGCTTGTGTTGAAAATTGACTAAATTGCTTATTTTGCTTGTTGGGAGTATAAGGATGGACAAATGTGATTTAGCCTAATGGCATGTGGGAGATAAAAATTTATCTGAAATATTATATTGTGTGAGTTGAAGCTAATTATAAAATATTTTATATTAAAATTATTGATATAAAAATGTGTTGGGTGGCTGTAACCCAACTATGGTTGAGTTAAATTATTAAAAAAAATAATTGGTGTGTTACACCATCACTTGTGTGAGTGCTCATTTTTAAGTTATTATTTCGGTTTTCTACTAAGGTTAATGTTTTTAGAATGTATAATTTTTTTAATCATATTTAAAATATAAAATTATTCATTTATTTAAATAGACATGAGAATTCGTGTGCAATTGTGTAGTAAATATCATATTACGGATTACCTCCAGTCCATAATTAAGGGCCTTGGTGTTTTCGACAATTATTAGAAAAGGTTTCGAGACTATACTCTCAATTAAAGTTTTTAATCTCTATCATAATATCAATTACTCCCCTTTTCCAGTAGTTTGAGGGTTTTTTTTTCTAAAATATAAAATTTTAAAATGGCACTTCCTAATAAATTGAAGGTTAATTTGCAAGAAATATTTTTTGGAAATACTTTGTAAATTCTTTACTAACTTTTTGTCTAGAGTCTTTATGAGATGTAGTCTTATATTATGGATTACGTAAATAAATTAAATATATCAACAATTCCTTACAAATATATAAATATCTAAAACATACATTTAAGAGAACCGAACCTTAGTTAATGTGAAATTTATATTTAATATCGATATTAATTAAATCATATTAAACTGAAAAAATAAAATAAAATGAATTCAAATATAAAAACAAGAAATATGATAACACCAATTGTTATTAATCTAGAGGTTACTTGTTATGATTTTAGAATTCCACTTGTAACATTTAAATAATATTTTTTTCTATAAATATAATAAAAATAGTTTATATCTACAAATTTCAATACTTCTAATTTCCTTTCAATAATGTCCTAGAGAAAATTATTAATTTTATTGAACAATAAATTTTATTTGTCATTTATGTTAAAACTAACCGTAGATACGTATTTTTTATACTAAATATATCTAACTGCAATATGTTTTTCTTTGCAGTTTAAGGAGTTAACTTTCTTTTAAAAAATAATCCCAGCAAAAAAAAAAATTCAAGTGACGAATAATTAATTTTTCAATTTTTCTTGGTACTTTTTCAACATCGAAAGTGTGATTTCTGAAACTTAAGTTTAAAAATTAATTCATAAAATTTAAATTAAAAAATAGACTATATATAAATTATATAAATATTACTCTATTATTAATATTATATGTACATATATTCTGCCAAAAATATAGGGATTGACCTATGCTAATAAATGAAATAATATATTATAAATATAATGGTTAAGCTAGAAGTTAAATAGTTATTGAGTAGAAAATAGATTGAAGATGCAAATCCATTGATCTAGTTTAATATTTATTTTTACATAAAAAAAATTTTTAGCATCAATTGATACATAAATTTGATCATGATATACTAAAATTTCAATTTTAGAATTATTTAGCCAGGGTTTAATTTCAACACATCATCATATGACTAAACAAATTGAAGAACTCAAAACCCCAATTGCTAACTCATATTCAGACTTCAACTTGAAATGTTAATTATATGCAATAAAAGTCCTAAATACATCAAACAAGGGCACGATTATACTTGATTGTGAGAGAGAGGATAAAAAATCTAGTGGCTTTTAAAAATAAGGGCACGATTCCTATTTTTATTTCTTAAGCCAAAACAAAAAAGGCTTGCCAACTTCTGTTAATTAAATAGTGGCTTCTCTGATGTCCTGAAGAGGTTGATAGAAATGGTCACCTCTTGTGATTATGGTTAGGGCATCACACAATCGTAAAGGACTTCCATCGGTCAAAAACATTTTATTTAAAAATACCAAGAACCTCATTATATATATTTATATATATAGGGGAACATTCCCCAAATTACAACAATAACCTTAGATCCAATTTTTCATGTTGGTATTTAAGAATATCGCCACAAGCTCCGATTCCATCAGGAAAAATGAAACCCATATGTAATTTCTAATTTAGTATTCACTAAAGCTTTCATAAGTTTGCAAATAGCATGTTTACCAATAGTTTAACAATTTTAGGTGGTGTGCGTGGCAAATGCAATATTTGATTTAATTGATTATTATTATAGTAGTAAACCCAACATTGAAAAGAAAATAGAAGCAACTCTTAAGGAATATAACCAAATCAGTTTGCGATGATCTTGAAACCATCCCCACATCTTGTAAATTCTTTATTTATCATCATGTAATAAATATTTATTGTCAATATCAAATATAAAATCATTTATTTGTCATCCATATTGATTAGTCCCTTGCATGATTAGGATTGCCGAAAACTTGAAATTAAAAAAAAAAAAAACAGAGAGAAGGTATGCAGCTAAGAGTGATAAAGAACCTGAAAAAAAAAAAAGGACAAGGATATAAAAGGCTTGAACTAGAGTATGAAATTGATAAGAAATGATTAGAGGACAATGGTCAAGGCCAGTATGCAACAAGAAAACAAATTGTTCAGTGGAGTTCTGTTGGTTTATAAATATAGAACCTCATCATATTTCAGTAAGAATCGAGTTAATAGGTTAGTTGGAAAAATTGTTGACAATTTTATTAGAGATTGTTATGTTTAAGATTAAAAAAAAATATGATTTCAGTTTATTAAATTTGAGAGAGGCATTAGGAAAATATTGAAGACAGGTGTAAACATGAGGTGTGTTGGAAATAATTTACTTTCAGCTAATTTTTATAAGCTAATTAACTCCCATCTACTCTCAACAACTACCTCATGTTTAATTAACCAAAGTCACTACTTTTTTTTTTCTTAAAACAAATGGACTCTAAATCTACTATACTATATCTATTCCCTCGATTTAGTATTATACAATTTTTTTGAAGCAACGTGTAAAAAAATATTTGTCTTTCAAGTTATAACTAATACAACTTTTTTAAAAGTATCTTTAATTAGGTGGGTAATTAATAATATTTTATAATTAAAATAACATATTAAATAAATATAAATATTAAAAGAATGTATAATTTTAAATGTCATTAACTATCTTAATAGAAGGTATAAATTAGTTAAAGTATTTTATAATACTTAACGAGGAGAGTATATATTTATTTGCAATCCGTCCATGAGTTGTATTGTTGTAATAGATTATGTTTGCAATTTATTTTGACACAATGAAATTTTTAGTATCTCAAAATTATCTAAATTATTAATTTAATTTTTTAAGTTTAATTTTTATCAATTTGATCCCTTATATTTTTTTTAAATTATCACTTTTTAAAAAATATAAATTAACTTTTAAAATAATCTAGTGTGTAAAGTATATTGACGTGATATATATATATATATATATATAGTTATATAACAATGAATAAACTCTTAAATCAATTTAATTTTTATCAATATAATCCTAACATTGTGTTTGTTTTCTTATTTTTAAAATTTCAATCTGTTTTTTAATTAAATAATTATACTTCTTTTCATTAATTTATATGGTTGCAATCAATATTTTATTATTTATATTAATAAATTTTAATGGTATTCCTCCATTTTAATCAATAATGACTAAATTAATAATCAAAATAAATTTAAAAAATTAAATAAATAAAAATTAAATTTAAAAAACTAATTGAGACAAATCTAAAGGGTTAAAAATTAAATTCTCTCATAAAAAATTTAATAAACACACCAGACAATGTACATTTATGCTCAAATTTAATCTCAAAACTCAAGTATTTTTAACTATGAAAGTGATATGACAGTGTATGGTATAGGTTTTAAATTGTATATTTATATATTAAATAATAAATATTGACATTGATATACTAACTTTTAATATAGTCAAATAATAATGCAATTTATTTATTTTGAGATTCCAATGGAGGCAAGTTGATACTATGGCCGCATATTTGTCTTGCGATATTATTCCCTCCCCCGTTTGTAATTTCCTCTGTTCTGCTTCATCCCTACGCCATCTCTCACTCTCCAACCCGCAGTGTGCCTCGTCTTCTTCATAGCACAGGGCTGATAACCAAGAGATCCTAGTTCGATCAAATACGACAGCCATGGCTGCTCATAGCAACAACATCAATAGCAACAATCAAAACCCTTATATTAACGTTACTCCAATTCCCAATTCCCCCGCAAACAACAAGAGTGAGTGATTCCCATGAGATTTTGTTCGCTGTACTTATTCCTTCTCGTTTCACGTATGTCTCTCTCTCTCTCTGTGTTACGATTTTTCAGGTTCTAATCCTATGAATACTATATACGGTGTGTTAAATCGGTGTGGCAAGACGGTTGAGAAGGCAACTAAGCAAGCAGAGGACATGGCTGACAACTTCTGGAAACACAGTGAGTCTTCTTTGTCTTCACCAACACTTTCTATGAATTAAGGTGGAAACTGAAACATGAGAAACCATAAGTTGCTTATGAAGGCATGTGTGGACTAGGGCAGAACTTGGTGCATGTAATTATTATTGATTATGATCACAATTAAAGACCTTGAGATGAAATGGTCTATACAAGATATTAGAACATAGAATTTCAATATAAAATATAATTTTCTGTTCTTTTCCGGCGAGTCTCACATTTCGTTCTTTCACTGTTCTGTTCTCTGAGATTTATAATCTGGAAGCTGTTTTCAATCATGTTTTTAAAAACTAAACTAAACTAAACTAAACCAGACCAGATGGTTGGACTGTTAATTGGACTCACTGACGGCTTGCTCTGGACTCTGCTTCAACTGATTAAGTGAAAGGCTCTCATTTTAGATTGTAATAAATTCATTTTGTGACCTCTGGACTCTGGTTTCAAGTTCCACAGATGAATTTATACAATGTTTAGTTGGTAGAAAAATCAACCACCACCTCTTACTTAAGAGGTTATCGGAGATGATGAAAGATGAGTAGGTTAGGTTTTCATTTGGCCGTAATTTCTATTGTTGTTGCCTTTTAGTCTTTGGTTTTGTTACTTAATATAGTTCTTCAAATTTCTATTAAAAAAATGGTAGGTATAAAGGTGTTTTCTAAATGCACCCATCATCTGATCCCATTGTTTTCTAGGTACATTTTTCATTTATTTTCTGGAAGACACTTTTTCATATACTATACATTGCCTTTCATTGTTTTGAAATTCTGAATTAATGAAATATATTTGCCATGTGCAGTCAGGTTGGGCTCAAATCCAGCTGATGCAGCAATGGCCAGACTTTTTCAAGGAACAAAAGTGCTGACATATGGAGGGTATGATATAGTATTTGAGAATACATTTGGGATAATGCAAGGAGAGAAGCTGTTAAAGCAATATGCTTGTTACATATCAACATCCAATGGACCTATAATTGGAACACTCTACATATCAACAAAAAGATTAGCTTTTTGTAGTGACTATGCACTCTATTATTACCCAGTCTCACCTCATAATAGTCAACCCATATACTACAAGGTACTTCTTTCTTCCCTTTCTATTTTTCCTCAAAAGTAAACTCTAGCTCCTAGTATGCTGTCATTTTGATCCTGGCTTCTTGCATATTAGTGGATGTATATAATTGTCTGCTTGTTACATCAATATTCAAGATACAAGGAAGAACAAGCAGACTTCAAGATCATAATGGATTAAACAGCTTAATATTTCCTTATTTTTGAGCAGTAGCTTCTAGCAACTCCTACTATCTTACTTTGAATTGCAAAATTCGAGTACTTCAATTCTCTGCTAGTTGAGACTGCCTAGATTTGTTGAGAAAAAAAGATGACGATAGAAGCTTCTCAAGTTAAGCAAAATGATCCCATATAGATACTGCCTGGTAATATGATAAAGGAATCCTTGTTTGCATACTTTTCAAATCTCAGGTTCTAGCATGTAAAGAATAAGTTGAGAAAGACTTGTGGAACTGATGGGTCTTTCTTAATTATTGATTTGGCACTTTAAACACATAACTCTTGTCAGCAATGAAAGTAGGTTTTGAAGACCGTCCAAATTGAAATACTAAACTGCTCATGTCATGAGTAGGAGTATCAATGATCAAATTCTTAGAACCTGTTTGGTTGTTGTAAAGAAATGAACTAGAATGGAATGGGTTGATAGAGAATAAAATAGACTAAACTAAGGTCACAGTTAATAGAGAGATGTGAACAAAGATTGATGACTTTATTTATATCAATGTTCATTCTTGCCTTTCATGACGTATATTTTATTATTTATCTACGCATTTCATTTCTTTCCAACAATCAAATGGTCTCTCAATCACTAAATCTTTGCCTTAAAAGTTTTACTCTCTGAAGAGTGGAACATATAACTGAGTCCGATTAAGAGAAGTAGAGGAAGGCCTAAGAGAATACTCTTAGAAGGTATTGAACGTGATCTCTTAATTAATAATATTCCTAAAAGCTTAATAAATGATAGAGCACAATGACGTCTTGCAATCCATATAGTCGACCCCACCTAATAGGATAAAGGCTTGTTGTTGATGTTGTTGTTGTAAAAGTTTTACTCTCTAATGTTATATTTGATAATATAAGATTCTAATTATGAATTGGATATACAGGTGGTAGTTCCAATAGAACAGTTGAGCAGGGTGAGTCCTTGCTCAAGTAGATGGAACCCTTCAGAAAAATACATAGAAGTTGTCACAGTGGATGGTTTTGAATTCACTTTCATGGGTTTTATAGCATACAACAAGGCTCTCAACACTCTTAGTGAGGCCTTACAACGATGTCGCACCCATTCCACTGGAGATTGAATGCTCTCTTGTTGTAACAATGTACTTGCCTGATAAAAACACACTACTTTATCAAATGTAAGGGATTTGATATTTCTTTAAGAATTTTACATCTTGTTGATGTCTTATATGAAATATGAAATATGTCATTATTAGTTGGTTAAATTATACGAAACTTCTTTAAACTTTCACCCATATGCAATTTTTTTTGCCAAAAAAAGCCAAAAAAAATTTACAAAAATGCACCTCTAATCTTTTAACTTTATATAAAATTTTAATTTGGTCTCTCTATTTTATAAAATATATTTTCAATTTTTTATTGTTAATCTCAAATGATGTTTTTTGTACTAATTATTATTATTTGTAAAAATTAAATATATAATATTTGAGAATATTTTGTCAACATTTAAAAATTTATTGTTAGCATTTATTTATTAATGGAACTAGTAAAGTACATGTGCTTTATACAATAGTAGTATTTTTAAATAGGCGGTATTGTTTTAGGAAAATCTTTCTTGAAAAGAATAACTTATAACAAACATTTTATCCATATTATTCACATATAAATGGATATAATGAGAAGTAAATTAATAAAAATTTATAATTATTTAGATTAAATCATTGAAAAATTTCTTATAAATGATATTAGAAGTTTTATCTATGGAGCATCATTCTCATCAAATGATCAAAATGAAACTTTATGTGAAATTAAAGAATCAAATATATACTTTTGCCTAATTTTTTTTAAATATTCAAATTTAAAATTGCTAGAGAACTCTTTTAAATTTCAAGTTTTTTTGCAAATAACCCCTGCTATCAATTATTTCGTTATTTTACTAACAAAGCATAATATTTTATTAATCAAATGCCTCCTTAAACTTGTTTTATATGCAGATAACACCTATCAATTTTTTAGTTATTTGCAGACAATCTCTTAAAGTTAAAATAATAAAGAATATGTGAATAAGTTCCTCGTCAAATTATATTATTTTAATAAAACAATCAACCCATAAGTGTTAGGTGAGTTTTTTGCATAAATGTAAAAATTTAGGGTTTATTGAAGTATAAATATCAAAAAAATCATTTAAACATAACCCAAGCTTAAGGAAGTTTTGTATAATTTAAACTTTCTTTTCTATGTATTGTAAACAATATGACACTCTTATAATTTAACCAGGTTGACTCTATGCTCTAAAATAATTGTGTAAAATCTTATGAATTAAACAACTATTGAGGTAACCAAACTTTTTTGATAAAAACCCTGATTCAATTTCGTTTATCTAAGATTTAGTAATTCAAAAAAGTTATTGTAACTTTCATATTGATATTAATTAAATTATATTAAATTGAATTGAATTAATTAAAATTTATATTAAACTGAATAAAATCAAATAAAATTGAATTTAAAAATGAATATAAAAAATTACGATAATGCCAATTGTTATTATTTCAGAGCGTGACTTCTTATAAATTTAAAACAATACTTGTAACATTTTTAGGTAAGATTGTTTTTTATAAATACAAATATTTTATTTTTCATATTTACAAATTTAGATTTTATTAATTTATCTTTTTTAAATGTTAACATTAAATCCTGTTAATCATATATGTCAAAATAGCATTATATGTTGAATTATAGGGCCTGTTTGGCAATTTATTCTGAGAATAATTTTTTGTTCTATAACAAAAGAACAAAAAAACCTGTTTGATAACATGTTTTCAAAATGTGTTTTAGAAAATAAAAAATAAAATATTGTTCTAAAGAACAGAAAAATGAAAATAACTTTCAGGTGTTCTAAAATTATTGTTTTGAAGAATAAGAAAGAATGAGAAAAATAATTATTTTTTTTATTTTTTTTATTCTTAGAATATATTTTATAAAATACCAGTTTCAGAATAATAAAATAAAAATAGTTTCATACTAACTAATACTGTAGCACAGTTTCTGACTAGTTAAAGCAGTATATTCTTAAATTCATTTTGTCAACATCAAAACAAGGAATGCTGTCATTTAAATTCAAACAATGACCCAAAAAATTTAAATTATAATGGAAAAACATGCCTAAGAAGTTTTGAGTTTGACCACATAAAATAGTGAAAAAAAAAAATTACTTGATCACGATTCAAGAGTGGTCATAACAAGAGGTTCTTTTATGTATCAAAAATTGAAGCGCTATAACCATCCAATTTCAATATTGATAAAGACCGTGCAATAAATTCCTCCATTGGAGAGAACTGAAGAAAAAACTTTTCAGAGACATCCAGTAACGACATTCGTTAATGAAGAGAATTATTGGTCCGTATTTTTCAGGGTCTTGAGATAGAGCAATGCAGATGTTTTAAACCTAAATCAATTTGACATTACTTTTATTAAAAAAAAAAAATTATCATTATCAATCTTATTGATGCTGATATTGCTAGAAAAATGAAAACAACTCTCGAAAAGTATTACCAAATTGGTAATAATCTTAGGGTCAAATCTAGGTTTTGTAAATTGTCAATTAAAGATAGAGAATGGGGTTCAATCTCTACTAATAATCTTAGGGTTCAATTAAAGATTTATCCTTCACCATTAACCCTCTTTGTTAAGACAGGGACTTGGTCTCGAACTTCTTTAACGTGATGCTGCAGGCAAGAATTGAACCTGTGATCTTGGCAAACAAAATTAATTTCCTCTCTACAGGTTATAGACCTAAAGTCAAAGCATTGCAATTTCTTCTTAAGAGCGCTAACAAAAAGGAAGATATTTCAGAAGCAAACAAGAATGCCCATGTTGGAGGAGCATTAAAACAAAGGTAAAGAGTTGCGCTTTGTCATCAGCAGATACAGAAATACTGAAGAGGCTCAAATAAAAAGAATCATACTATGTGTACATTTTCCAATCCAATTTTTAGCTAAAGCTTTGCTCTGAAGGGCTGTTGTGATGAGATCCAAAATTCTGAAGAAACACAGTAAACAGTCATGGATTTTCACTTCAAGCATCTGGTTAACTCAACCAGGGACCAAATTTGCACATCTGCACAAATTCCATATCATTGTCCACGTACTTGGTCCAAAGATTCTTATTCTGGTTCAAAGCAATATCAAGCCAAGGTTTCATCATCAAATAATAAAAAAGTTTCAACTCGTACAGTGACCTACTAAACATAGTTGGCTGGGCTGCGGAAATCTTCGCAGAATGGACAAAAGGCAACATAAATTGAGCCAATTTCAGAAAAGCACAATTCCAGCAGGACCAGCTTTGACATGTTAAACTAGTTGAAAATGTAAAAACCAAACACTCCAAATGAACATAATAAAATAGTTTCATCATATAGCAGTTATGTAATCCCCACTCAACAGACAGTCTAGAGGAGAAAACATTACATTTATTGGGAATTCTGACAGGTTTCAATACCAATAATCTCAAATTTTCGACTGTTTGGCAAGCTTGAACCATTCAGTATGGAAAGACCCCTCTATATCAATCCTTTCATATGTATGAGCGCCGAAGTAGTCTCGCTGAGCTTGCACCAAATTAGCTGGCAATCTTTCCCTTCTGTATGTATCAAAATAGGCAAGACTGGCAGACATGCCTGGGGTACTGATACCAGAATTGATAGCAAGGCATACAACTCTCCTCCAGGCAGATTGCCTATCAATTATTTCCTTTGCAAACTCTGGATCCACAAGAAGGTTTGCAAGGTTAGGGTTCCTGTCATACGCCTTCTTGATTCTGTCCAAGAATATTGCTCTTATGATGCAACCTCCTTTCCAAATTCTTGCTAGTTCTCCCAACTTCAAATCCCATCCCTTCTCAATACTCTTTGCACGAATTAGATTCATTCCCTGTGCATAACTACAGATTTTTGCAGCATAGAGAGCTTGCCTGACATCATCGATCAAATTTTTCTTGTCTACAGGTTGATCAGTCAAGATATCGCCAAAGCCACCTGATTTGAAGACCTTCGCAGCTTCAACTCTTTCCTCCTTCAACCCACTAAGGAACCTACCATCCAAAGAAGCTTCAATAGTGGGAGCAGCAACTGATAAATCAGCAGCTTGCTGAACAGTCCACTTGCCAGTACCCTTCATGCCAGTTTTGTCAAGAACCTTGTCAACTAGATATCCATCTCCTTTATCATCCTTAATTCCAAATATGTCTGCAGTAATTTCAATAAGAAAACTCAGAAGCTCTCCCTTGTTCCATTCAGAGAAGACATCATGTAGTTCCTTGTTCGACAGCTTTCCAACTGACTTCAGTACATCATAAGCCTCAGAAATCAGCTGCATGTCCCCATATTCAATTCCATTATGGACCATTTTCACAAAATTACCAGATCCACCTTTACCAATATATGTCACACAAGGACCACTGTCAGGAACTTGAGCTGCCACCTTCAAAAGAATGTCTTCTATATATTTGAAAGCCTCAAAAGAACCACCAGGCATCAAAGAGGGACCGTATCGAGCACCCTCCTCACCACCTGAAACTCCCATCCCAAGGTAAAGCAAACCCAGTTCAGCCATTGCTTTCTCTCTCCTCTCAGTGTTCTCATACCATTCGTTACCCCCATCAATTATACAATCACCTTTCTCCATGTACATAGATAGGGTCTTAATGGTCTGGTCAACAGGTGCCCCAGCTTTCACAAGCATGATTACAACCCTAGGTTTTTGAACGGACTTGACAAAGGATTCAGGGTCATGGAAGCCATATACAGGGAGATTCCCTTCCTGTTTAGCTCGTTCCACAGTCTCATCAACCTTGGATGTGGTTCGGTTGTAAACAGAAATAGGGAAGCCTTTCTCAGCAATATTAAGAGCCAGATTTTGACCCATCACAGCCAGTCCAGCAAGTCCTATTCTAGTGGGAGGGGTGGCCATAATTTAAATCCTGCTCAACATTTGATAATGCACAAGAAATAATGAAAATAGTAAATATACAGCAAAGTTAAAAAAAAGGGGGGGGGCAAAATCCCTATAGCATCATCCAAAGGAAAATGAAATGTGCAAACCACCAGAACTAAAGACAATAAGTACTTAATTAAGGACATCTACAAAATAATTTTCCTCCACAATGTGAGATATTCAAAACAGGAAAAGAGATATGTAAAAACGCTAGAGCACCTTTATCTTATGGCAAGGTTCTCCGAGCTGCGTCAACAAAGGGAAGATGAGCTACTAAAAAGCCACCCTACAAGCTTGTACTTCTCTAGGTCCACAAGCATGAAACAAGGACCGTGTCTTATAAGCCTAAAAAATGTAAAATGTACCATACATATGCGTGGATATACATAAAATGGCTGGAGTTTTGTAATATGTCACATTATTCCAAACATTGGATGATGCCTGGTAAAGCCAGGGGGAAAAAACAACACATTCACTGGATGCAAATAAATATAACGAAGATCAAGGCAAAGAAACATGTCACACCCGTTAAATAAGAGAAATTTTTTATCAATAGAGGAATCAATTAATCCCAGGTGAAGCAATTATTGTCTGGCCTATTAAGAAACCAGAGACAGTAGACTCTAATCGACGAAAGACCAACAGAAGAAGAAGCAAGGTGGAATTTTTCGGCAACAGAAAGATCGGCATACGAATAATACCGCAAAAAGGTGGAAAGGTAAAAAAGGCAAACCTGAATCCTGAATCTTTAGGATTGAAAAATGAAAACAGTTGAATTGCAGGAAATGAGATCTGGGTATGGCAAAAGGCAACAGGTTAAAAGGGCTGATGGTATATAAAAGTGAGGAGCAAGATCGATACAAATAATTATATAATAACAATTTGGCGTCACAAGCCGACAGCGCACCACTACCAAACTACACCACCTTCCAGTAGAGGGAGGGAATCAAGTCTAAAAGATAAGAAATGAAGACATAAACGAGTCAAAGTTGCTCAACTAATCGGTAGGTGGAAATGTTTCGAGGAATCAAGACCGTTGATTTCGCAAAGCAGCCGGATCATGGACGAGTAGCTCACGTCGATTCATCTTCTTTGTACCTTGATCCCTCCCGCTTCACAGGTTGGGCTGTTGGGATTGATTTTGGATAAAACATCAAACTAATTAAACCCAGTTTGGCAAATCTTTAAATGGGTTTTAAGGTTAGTTTGTTTCTGTTTAGCTTGCTTCGGCTTATGCTAAAATTAGAGTTTAATTGAAAAAATAATATTTTTTATTGTGTATTAATAAAATAGATTTAAATATATGTTTTCTTACAATAAAAATAATGACCGTAATGTGAATTTAATTTATAATTTATAAAGTTATGAGATCAAATCTCATTATTAATATAAAAATTTTATTAGTAAATAATTTATAAATATTTTTATAAATACTCTTTAATTTATAAGTGTGCCTAGCAATTATGGTGAGCATCTGCTATTCAACTCACCTAAAAAATTTAGTTAAATAAAAATAATGTAACATATTTTATACACTAGTGATTCTATGCTGGTTATTTTAAGCATCACTTAGTATAACAAAACAAGTTGTTCCTCCGCAAAGACGACCCTCACTAAGGATTATGATTCATGAATGATGTGGAGGCCATTTTATTCCTTTTTTTTTTTTTTTTGGGTTCTCTATGTCATATTCGTTTAGAATTCAATTCAGCAACCTTTACGACTCTATAACTTGTTTGTTTGCCTTTATATTTGTTGGAGTTATGTTTTTAGATCATCTGTAAAATTAATTCAAAAGGATGTATAGTATGTCATTTTCAACATCAAAAACGATGAACAAACATTGAGTATGTTTGAAAGCTTAGTAGCTTACTGCAGAATTGAATTGGAGGACAATAGTCAAATCGGGTGGAAGGGATGGTCTCAGAATCAATCGGAGGTGGCTTCCTTCTCTCACTCCCATCCTCCTCTCACGTTTTTATTAAATCTACACCATTTAAATTAAATACTCCTTTTGTTTAAAATATAAAATATTTTTTAATTAAATTTTATTTTTTAATAAAATAATTATCTACTTTTAAATTAACGCTATTTTTTTATACTTGCCCATATTAGACACTCTACAATAAATATAAAGTCATTATCAATAAGGGCATTTTTGAAAAAAAGATAATGATTATACCTCGAAAGACAAAAATATCTTACATTTTTAAACATCCAACTCCTCAAAAAATGCCTTACATTTTTTAACGCAGGGAGTATATTTTTTTATATTAATTTTAAAATTATGAAAAAATGTTAATAAATATGTTTATTACTAATTTGAAATAGTACAGATTTAATATGAGTGGTTTAATTTTTATACTAAAATTTTTATAATTTTTATAAATTGATCACCTAGTATACTCCAGATAATCTAGATTGCTTACTAAAATTAATAATTTTTTAAATTTTTTTATTTTCATAAATATATTTAATCTACTATCCAAGTTTAATTTAAATATTCATATTTAACAGGGGGTGAGAGGAGGATGGAAGAAGGGAAGCCAACTTCAAATCAATGAGGGGGCAAACCAATAGATGAGATATGTGATTATCTATAGAAAAAAAAATTTAAATAGATCATGTATAGTAGATTTATTTATAAATAAATGTTACGAGATTTATAAATTACAACTAAACCCTCTAAAACTTAAGTGTAATTTGAGATTGGGATGTAAAGATAATATTATCCTTATTAATTGGATTCACTTACAATTGTAAACTTTACAATTTACAAGTAAAAAGTTCATATTTCATAAGTTAAGTTTATTGTTTAACGCTTAATATAATATAGAGTTTTCATAGAGTTAATTATGTCTACCTAAGACTATAATTACATAGTAAATTATGAAATTTTTATTCCACTTAGACCAATTATAGTCTTAAGGAAGCATAATTAATTTTATGGAGGAACATGTTACATCAAATGTAAAATAAGAAATTTTGACCTATAAATTATAAATTTTTACTTGAAATTGTGAAATTGCAGTTATATGTAAAAGTTAAATTAACAGGATAATATTGTTTTTCACATTGCAACTACAAATTACACTCAAGTTTTAAAAATTTATCTATAGTTTTTGAATTTTGCAAAACTTATTTGTAAATAAGTTATTTGTAAATAAGTTTACTATATGGAATCTATTCGCAATTTTCTCTTAATTACATTTATTATAGGCTAAAGTATACATTTAGTTTCTCTAACTTTATATAAGATTTTAATTTAATCCTTTAATTTTGTAAAGTATCTTTTTAGTTATTTAACCTAATATCATGACTTTCAAATGATTTTTTTCTTCAATCATTGTACTTTTAAAAAATTTAAACTTAATATATTAACATCTGAGAACGTTCTGTCAATATTTGAAAGTTCAATGTAAAAATTTATTAGGATAAACTAATAGTGTTAGAATTAAACGATTAAAAAAACTTTATAAAATTAAGGTACTAATAGGAATCGTCGTGTAAAGTTAAAATATTAAAAGTATATTTTAGCCTATTTTATATGATATAAAGATTAGGATTTTTATTTTATTGGAATTATTTCTTAGATTTATTTGAATTTTTTAATTAAAGACAAACTTCATTTAAAATAAATAAAATGATTATAAATTAAAAGATCATTAGTTAAAACTAAACGGCCCAACAGAAAACACAACGAGATTATAAGCAGATAAAACAAAGACTCGAACACGCAAACTCAATAAAAAAAAAAAAAGAACACACAAACAGATTTGATAAAATTTGAATATTAAATTTGGATTATGGATATTAAATATGAAATGTTGTTTTGATAGTGAAACATACTTATTAATTTTTTTTAATATATATAGTATATATAAATAAATATTTTAAACCGAGATGGTCCATATTCACAATCCTTAATAGAGGGACATTGGAGGGATTTCGCCCTGGGGGTTAGGAAAGGATGCTAAAGTAAAGAGTGACACGTAGCATAAATATTTCACAAGTTTTTTTTAAATATATATAGCGACCCATGTACGAGGGTAACTCATAGCCATTCAACTTGTTAACAATCAACACGAATGATTTGTAATAAAATTAACCTGCCTATTTTTTCTCTTAATATTTTGGTTTTGCATTTTTCATATTTTCTGTTAATATTTGGTTCTGCATTTTTCATTCAACTTCAATTTGTGAGTTATTTACTGGCCTTTAGTTAACATCATATCCAAGGGCGGAACCAGGGTAACTATTCAGGGAGGCCAACTTTTAGATAACAAAAATGTTAATTTAAAATTTTAAAGATTTATCATGTTGAATTTTTTAAAATTAATTTTATGATTTAAAAAATATTAGATAACAAATCATGTATAATTAAATTCACTTTTAGAAAAATTTAAGATGCTCAATCTATTTATCAAATGATGCTCCATCTTTACCTCCTATAATTTTAATAGTTTTTTTTGTAATTAACTTAAACAAGACATAATGGAGTTCTCTTTAATAAAGGGTGAAGGGAGTCATGTACTCCCTTAAAACCACAATATAAAATAAAAAAAAATTACATATAGATTCTATATAAAAAAATTAATCATTATGAGATTCATTAATAATTGATGTAAGGTGATTTACAAGACAAACAATTGTAAATCGCCTTATATCAATTGTTAAGGATCTCGCAATAATTATTTTCCTCATGTGAAATTTTAATATAATTATCCTTATAAAGTATCTTTTAAAAATTTTATTTGATTTAAAATATATGATATTGTGTTGTTTTTATGATTACTTTTTTAATTATACTTCTACTTTATTTATTAATTATCTCTCACAATACATGTAGTTACTCTCCCGATCATATCTAATATTCTATAACTTGGAAGCATATTTTTTCTTTCTATCTGTTTGTTTGTCTTTTTTAAATAAGCAAACAACTAAAATTGTGTTACGTACGTATACCAACCTATCTTTAGCCAAAAAAAAAAAAAAAAACTAATCCAATAGTTCCAGGTCAGAATCCAATTAATGGTTAGATTGAAAGGTCGCTCACGCATGATCTCGTTTGTAAATAACAACTTCTTGCAAATTCTACCAATATTGTACAAATAGATCTATTAAATTTATATATTTGTATAAAATTTTTTACACAGCTCAATATCTGGTTTTATTTAAAATAAAAATACTAAATTAAAATAATTCAATTATTCCAGGCATATATCACTTAAAAATACCACATAATTAATATTTCACTAAATATATAAAACTTTTTTAAATTTTAAGACAGTTACATAAAATTTTTTTATATTAAAACTTTAAAATTAATCTACATAACCTTTTTTTTTTACCACATATTCTTCTACTGGTATTTTTTAGTTATTTTATTAATAGAAGTTGTCATGTTATAATAAAAAAAAAAAACTGTAGCAGCTTATGTAATATTAACTAGGTAGCTTTATAACAATATCATTGACTTATATTGGATGATGTAGAAGCTGCTATGGTGTTATTTTTTTAATATATCATGACAATTTTTGTTAGTAAAATAATTAAAAATAATAATAAGTATACAATAAGAAAAGTTAGGAAAATTAATTTTAACTTTTTTAAAAATTTTAATTTAATTAAAATATATCTTTAATTTTTAAATTTTATATAATATTTTATTTTAATTTCTTAATTTATAGAGTGTTTTTTCAATGCTTTAATTATAACAATATTAGTTGTCTTACAATTTTTTTTACATTATATTTTTAAATATTGATAAATATTTTTAAGAGTTAACATATTCAATTTATTTTTTAAAATAATAATAATTGACATAAAAAAAATCATTTAAATTAATAGTATCAGAAAAAAAAAAAAATATTTTATAAAATTAAAGAATTAAATTAAAATTTTATATAAAATTAGAGAATTAAAAATATGTTTTAATTTTATTATTTATTCTTAAAACATAATGTAAAATTTAAGGAACCAATTATATTATCATCAATTATCAATCAATTTATAATAAGATGTATCATAAATTTATATCATATATATTGACATCTTACCATAGAAAAAAATTATACGCTTAATTTTAGTTGAAATTTTTATTTTTGATATGTAATTTTTTTATAAATTATTTATTTTATAATAAAATTTTTTCATTAATATTATTAATATATAAAAATTTATATGTTTTGATTTGATCGTTAAAAGTAGAATAAAATAAGATTAAGTACATGAATTTTACGCATTAATTTATTGTTTAGTGCAAAATAATGTAATTGAATCATTTGGTGACAATATTGGCCAAAAAAAAAAGGAAACATTTGGTGGCAAAGGGAAGCAAATTGTAGCCCACATATTTAGTTACCATTCTGTCCCCTGCTCCTAACTTACTCTGTTCTCTTTTTCATCGCCTCGTCCTCTCCACGCCATCTCTCTCTCTCTCTCTGTCTCGATCCAGATGGCCGATTACAGAGAAATACCTATTCGATCAAATTCTCCAGACACGGCTGGTCATAACAACAATAACAATCCCTATATTAACGTTTCCCCTATTCCTACTTCCACTGCTTACAACAACAGTGAGTATTTCTCAGAGAGATTTTGTTTACTGTACGAATTCCTTACCGTTTCACTTTTATTTCTTCTTTCTGCCATGATTTCAGGCCCTAATCCCGTGGATATTATTTGCGATACGTTATATCGCTGTGGCAAAACTGTTGAAAGGGCAACCAGGCAAGCGGAGAACATGGCTGATAACTTCTGGAATCACAGTGAGTTCTCTTTGTCTTCGTGATTCTTTCCATGGACTAAAGCGGAAAATGAAACATGAGAAACCATAGACTGCTTATGAAGTCAAGTGGACTTGAGAAGAACCAGGTGGAGATGTAATTGTTACAGTTGTGATAATGACTTAAGAGCTATGAAATGGTTAATGTTCTTTATGTAATATTAGAATATAGAATTTCAAATCTGAATCCAGCGACGTGAGGTTTCTATCACTTATATATGAAAATAAAAGTAGGATGCTAGTACTTTGTGTTAAACTTCCGAAACTTTCAATTCAAAGGTTCTGGATTTTACCTCAAACATTCTCTCTCTCTCGCCCCCTAGGAGAAGTTTCTTCCTTGCTGTGTCTGTTGTTTCTTTTCATGATATCTTAATCATTAAACAACAACAACAAAGACAAGAGGCAAAATCCAGATTTAATTATTGGAAGAAAATTAATTACAAAAGGAAACTAGTTGGATAAGTCTAGTTAGGATCGCACAAAAATAAGTAGGAGATAAAGTAAACTGGATTTTATTCTTTCACTTTCAACTTCTCTCAACTGTGTTTCACGCAAAATTTTTTATCAGCTGAACAAGACTAGAATGCTAAGAGTTAACACCTATGTGACAATGAAAACGGCTGCATTTAACAACCAATTGCGGCTCTTTTCCAGCAAGTTTCGCTTTTTGCTCTTTCCTTGCTCACGGTGATTTTATAAACTAAAAGTTGTTTTCAACATTAAGATTGTACTAAACTATTATATTTTATTTTTTAATCTCTGGACTCTAGTTTCAAGTTTAGCGGATGAATTTAGTTGTTTTGAAGTTCTGAGCCACTGGAATATGTTTTCAATATGCAGTCAGATTGGGCTCTAATCCAGCTGATGCAGCAATGGCTAGACTTGTTCAAGGAACAAAAGTGCTCACGCAAGGAGGGCATGACAGAGTATTTCAGAATACATTTGGTATATTGCAAGGAGAGAAGCTGATAAAGCAATATGCCTGCTACCTATCAACTTCCTCTGGACCTATAATTGGAACACTTTACATATCAACAAAAAGAATGGCCTTTTGCAGTGATTATCCACTCTATAATTACCCATTCTCCCTCTACGGTCAATCCATATACTATAAGGTAGTTGTTACCTTCCTTTTTCCCCATCGAAAGTTAACATTAGTTCTTGTTATGCTGTCATTATGATCCTAGCATCTTGCTTATCAGTAGACATCTATGATTGTATTCTTGTTATTGGTATTCAAGATGCTTGATATTAACCCAAGATACAAGGAAGCATAATATGACATCAAGAACTGATAGGATTTCACATGCCTTGAGTTTTGGCTTTGATAGCTTTTGCAGACTGTCTATTGTATTCTAATTAGAAACTTTAGAAGCTTAAATCTGATATGTCACACCTTGCTAGAAGGCTAGGATAAAATGATCTTATATAGTTACTTCCTGGGAAGATCATGGTTAACTACTTCAATTTCTTGATGCTTGTAACTCTTATTTTTTTTCTAATATCAGCTTCTGATTTTGTGTTTGATATGTAGGTGGTAGTTCCAATGGAACAATTGAGCAGGGTCACTCCTTCCTCAAGTAGATGGAACCCTTCAGAAAGATACATTGAGGTTGTCACAGTGGATGGCTATGGATTCACTTTTATGGGGTTTATAGCATATGACAAGGCTCTCAAGACTCTAAGTGAAGCCTTACAACAATATCGCAACCATTCCACTTGAAGTTGAATGCTCTGCTGTTGTAAGAATGTACATGGCTCATAAAAACGCGTACTGAATTCAGTGGTGCTGTATGATCAATAATGTGCTTAGATATGCCGTTGACTAACAGAGGCCTTGTAGCTTTCTGTTTTCCTGTTTATATGTGTTTAACAAAGATCAAATATATAATTGCTTTTTAACCCTTTGTTTAGATAGGAAGAAAGAAAATGGGAGGAGATACAATAGAAAGAAAAGAAAACTGAAAAAAAAAAAGAATTATCATTTATTGTGTTTGGATAGATAAGAGAAAACTAGGTAAAAAGGAAATGAACAAATATTATAATAACTGTAATAGCTGCACATTGAAATATCTCATGTTTCATGTATAAAAATTAATTGGAGGAAAAAAATATATTAAAATCAGTATCATCAAAATAATTTAAAATCAAATTACTTGGTAAAAATATATTTTCATGTTATTATATTTTAAAATTTAATAATTTAATAACAACATGTTATTTTTCTATTTAAAAAACCAAAAGTGAATAATTTTTTCCATTTAAAATTAAACAGTGCTTCCCCTCCCCAAAAAGGCGGGGGGTGATGGGGTTTTTGGCTGTCAAAATTTGTTAGTATTGCTATGAAATAATTAATTGAAGTCAGTGGGAATAACGCGTTGTATACAGTATTTTCTTGCAAAATCAATCCATGTGTGGAGAAAAATAAATGGGCAAACAATATTATGGGTTTCATGTCTCATTTTCTCTTCTAATTTTTTTTCCTTTCACTTTTTCTTTCTTCATCCAGACAAGGTAAACATTGTCCTCCTCCTTTTTGTCTTCTTCAAGTTTTTTCTCCATCCAAATAGAACATAGATGACTGTTATTATTCTGTTGCAGAAGAAATGTGGCAAATTTAAAAAAAAAAAAATCTTTCTGAAGCAAAATCTGAAATAAGAATTCATAGGTATCAAAAATCTCAGGTCAATAGATAGCACAAGCAGAGATCTAGTTACTAGGCAATTTGATCATACAAGCCAAAATTCCTTAATGACTTAAACTTGGATCAATTAGAATTATATTAAAAATAATAATTTGGATCAAGTCTTACGTACTAGCCCAAATAGACCCAAAAAATCTTAATTGGGAATTTTGAAGATTTTCTTTACTCTAAATTTATTTCAACTGTTTGAATAAACCAAAAGAAATTCGGGCTAACCCAAATAGGCTTAACTTGAATACCCAAATTCCTTTTTATTTATAAATAATATAAAAATAAGATAAAAATTGAAAATATTAATTTTTAAAATAAAAATTGAAATTACATAAAAAAATAAAATAAAATAAAAATTGACAATTCGGGTATTTGGGCCAGTGGAAAAGCATGAGGGGTTTAGGCCAAATTTAGCTATATAAGTTTTTTTTACATGGTAAGATATTTTAAGCTCGCCTTGCAAGAATAACCCACTCTAGACTATACCACACACTGAATACATATTCAATATATTGAATAAGACTAGACAATTGGAAGGAATTCCTCAATATATTCAATAATAGAATAGCCGAATGTAAAACAGCAAGTTCACCGAGTTAGCTGGCACAACAATGTACAGCACCTTGGACCTTTCATCCTATAGCTACATGAGATCAATTGAGTCTGAATGCATTCTTCTACAAAAATGCTTGAACTTGCTGACAAGCAAAAGGAAAACATGTGGTAACTTTAGCAGGATTTGTCCTCATATTACAAGTTCAGCAGCTCTATCACTAAATAGTGTTTCAAACTCCAAGCTCTTTGCTACTTCAAAGAAATGTGCAACTGCTTCTTCAGGTGTGCCAACGAGAACGCCATGCCCTAGATTAAGAATGTGTCGTCTAGGCCCAGCACACCTCACAACCCTGACAAACAATTTCCTCAGTCTAATTATCATATGAAAGGACGAAAATAACTCAAGATCCATCAAATTAGTGTTTTCTTGATTATGGTAATTTGATTAGCTTAGGCACAACGGTTAATATGGTATCTAGTGACTTCAAATTCAGGTCACCAATCAATGAAACTACGAAAGTATGCCCCTTCTTCCAAAGGCCCTAATCCGACTCAATCAGTCAATCTCTGTTAAATTAAAAACAGCTGAATTTCTTGACGTTATTTCTGTTTGTATTTGTTAGTAGCTACTCCCAATTTCACTATTTTTAGTGCTATGATCCTACTGTAAGCATATATCAGGTGGAGTTCAATCTTCATAATTTAGATGATAGATCATAAGTCATAAGAATTATTACAGCCTGTAATGGTCAAGATTGGGTCTAAATTTTGTATATACTGAAGTTTAGAGTATCAAGTCACTAACCTCCGAATTTCTTCAGTCACAGCATTAAGAGGGGAGAACAAGTAAGCAGGGTCCACATTTCCCTGCACACTTATTCCATTACCCAATCGTCTTCTTCCATCAGCCATATCTACTGTCCAGTCTAGACCAATAACATCAACTCCAGTTTCTTTCATACGCTCAAGAAGGCCACCGTTACCATTTATATACAGGACAAGGGGGGTTTCAGGGCACTTTTCCTTCACCGAATTAACAATCTGGGGAAAAAAAGAATAACTATTGAAGAGAAGATAGAATTTGGCTAGAAGGGCAAAATACTATAGAAATATTAATCTTAAAATTCAACATAAGCACATGAAAAATGTGGCTTCCTGATTGGGATTTAGCCCTCTAGTATTAGTAAACAAATAAGTTCCGAACTTCTGATAGTTTTCTTCACCAGGTCAACTAGCCAATAACAGGCCAAAGAGGCTTCAAGCTCCGTACCAATTATCTAAAAATGAAACCAGTAATAATGAAAATATATGCAAGCTATGAACCATTGATCTACTTTGTCTCTTCAACTATACAAAGGCTATGAATCTGTTTTAACATAAGCATGAATTTATATAGGCATTGATACCAAAAAATGCAGGGTGAAAATGAAACATAATTTGAAAACAAAAAACATAGTGGAGTATATTTAAGTTACCTCTTTGATATAAGGCTTTGACCAGCGTTCCCACATATCAGGTGGTAGTTGTCCGCCCCATGAATCAAATATTTGTATGCAATGAGCCCCAGACTGAACTTGGAAAATAACGTATTCTGTTATTGCCTGTGTCAAATGAGAAAGAAGAGTCTTCAATACATGTGGTTCTGTATGGCACATGCTCTTTATCTTCGTATATGTGCGCGTTGTGCCCCCTTCCACTATGTATGTAGCTATTGTCCAAGGTGCTCCCACAAAACCCAAAACAGCAGCTTGACCACCAACCTACATAAAACCATAAAGAAAATAAATTAAATGTTAACTCAAGGAAACAGAATTACTTGAATGGTCATGTTAAAGATGAAGGGAGACAACTGAAGTTACCTCCTGGCGTAGTATCTTGAGTGATTCTCCAACAAAACTAAGTTTGTCCAAATCAATTGGATGCAAGGATTTTAAATCCTCTGCAGAGCGTATTGGTGATGATATAACAGGTCCTCTCACATCTTCTATGTCAAATGGGACACCAAATGCAGGAAGAGGGGTAAGTATGTCCGAGAAAATAATGACTCCATCAGGTCTGAAAGCTCTCCAAGGCTGCAAAGAAATTTCCACAATGAGATCAGTTGTCTCTGACCTCTGTCGGAAGGATGGATATTTCTCAGCAAGCTTTCTGTAAACAGCCATGTACCTTCCTGCCTGGCGCATCATCCATGCTGGAGGACGACTAACGGGATCTCCTCTGGCAGCCTTTACTAATAGTGGGTCTGAATAAGAACAGAAAATGAAAGGATACATAAAAAAGTAAAGTCAATTGTGATGGAAACAGGTTTACATGGACATGTAAGTTCATGTGTCTGCACAGGAGAAATGAAAAGAGAAGGCAAGACTGTAAGGGATGAAAACAAATCCTGTGGGACTTAGGTGTGAAGGGCTTGTTATCGCTGCCTTAAGCACATTATGGATTTGTGTTCCTTACTAATAAAGACGAAGCCTATAAGGAGAATTAACATCAAAATGACCATCATACCCTACTCAATAGAAGTAATATAATGAACAAATACAAGTTAGCGCCTTCAATAGTACCTCTCCTGTTCCTTTCAAAGAAATGATACAAAACATAGTTAGGAAGTAATGGAATGAAGGACTGAGGGAGATCAATGCTCAAAAGTTCTTTTTAATTCCATCGAAGCAGTGATCCTATGAGTCACTCCCCAGGCAACATTCAATCAATCAGCCGTTCAAATTTCCAAACCAGGTTAAATTGCTTCTAGCCAATTTCACTCCAAGAACCATCTATACACAAACATATTCTTATAAATGATAGTAAAAAACAGAAGAGAATCTTGGGGTTCTAAAACAGTTACCCCCCCCCCAAAAAAAAAAAAAAAAAACTAGCAGCCGTATCTTTCAGGGCACAAGTACACCTGATAGAGCCACACATGCAGTGCAAACAGATATATTATTCTTTCCTAGTAATCATTCTGACGAATTCTCTTCACCTCTTAATTATTGACCCATATCATTCTTCCCTGAAGAATCTCCACCAACGCCAGAACAGATAAAACAACTTCATTTCCAGTAAAATAGAACGTAATCAACAGAAGAAACAAGAAGCAGAGCAACCCAATTCGCTATTGATGCTCGAAAATGTTTCAGGAATAGACAATAGGCCATACCGTCATTAGAAGGTGCGGATGTCGAACAAGTGACAGAAAATTTTCTGTGGGGCGATTTTGCTTTTGCAGGGACTGAAATCACAATGGAGCCACCATAGTTGAAGCCAGATTGCACAAATAAGGAGGAAGACTTCCACCCCACAGCACTGTACAAAGCAAATTCCAAAGTCAACACAAATTGAAGTTACCAACTATAGAAAGAGAGACAGATAGAGAGAGGAAGAACTAGCCTGTTAACGGAAGCACTCATCTGGAGGGGGAAGAAATAAGCGGGGCTTGCTAATTTTCTTCGTTAAGGATAAAATTTCGTTGTTGCTGAGATTCCTTATCCTTCAATGCTTCTTCGTCTTCGTCTTCCCCCAGCTGCTGATAGTGGGGACCTGCAAGTGAATGATAGACCCACGGCCCATGAGGCAGCACACCAGGAGAGAGAGAGAAAATCGAGATAAAATTTTCCCCCCGGAAAAATATTGCTCTTTTGTTTGCCAACAAACAAAATTTATATTGAGTCAATATATTAACATCCTTCCTCCACTTTCTCCTATTCTATTCTAGTTGCAAGGTGAAAAAAAAAATTATTTATAAATCATGTTATTTATTTTTTCTTTATTTTATTAAATATTGACCTTAGAAAATATGTTATTTAAATGTACATATTTGATTGGAATAAATTTAAAAATATATAAAATTTTTAAGCAAAATTAATGAATTTTAAAATTTCCATTTCTTAAAAATAGGATTGGAAAGAAAATTGTGTATAAAATAAGTTTTACAAATAACTCATTTATCATAAATTATAAATATAGTTTTTCAAAAAAATAAAGAATTTAATAATTACATGGTAAAGATGTCTCTTTAGGACCCTTGGAGGAAACATATTCTCAATCTCAATTGGTTATTCTGTTACTGTTATTTACTCATTTAAATTAATTATTAATGTAAAGTATAGAATTTCGTTCAGCTGTAGAAACGGCTCCATCCGGCAAAAGAAATAAGAAAAAGAAAAAGACCGTTCGATTAATTTGATTTTTATTGTTACATTAAAACAAAACATATTAGTTTCATTCCGTTGCCGGGAATCGAACCCGGGTCTCCTGGGTGAAAGCCAGATATCCTAACCGCTGGACGACAACGGAATTATGGTGAACGTATCGTTTGAAATTATGTTCTATTATACCAATGGCCTCTTTTATCACCACCAAATTGGTTTGCCCATTTGGATGCCTAGACTGAACATGGGCTTGGCGGGGGCGATGGTTTTGCGTGCAGCATTTGTCGCCGGCGACTGAGAGAGTTGTCCGAGAAGAGGGAATCGTTGCCGTCGGTGACAGTACAATTGCCTTTATGTCAATCTGTTTTGTTTCTTCATGATAGTTCAGTAAACTTATCTGCCTCTCCCGTCCAGGACCCAACGCCGCCAGCTGGTGGAAGGGAGGCTGGCTTCCATTTCCTGTGCTAAAATTTTGCCCAACCAAACGGGTCCTAACTCTGTGAGCTGTTCTCCTTGGAGGTGCTTTCGAATGATTTCATCTAAAGAAAATGCATTTTGGGGATGGATTTTTATATCACTTGGCTCTATATTCTTTGTTGGGTACTTCTTTGCTGCAATTATTTCCAAGCTTCTCCCACCTTCAAATATAGCGATAGTATCTGCCATGCAAAATGACTGGTAATCAATTATAATGTGAAGTTTCTATCTTTATATTTATTTTTTGTCTGATTTGTTTATATATATAACGGAACGATACATGCATAAATCATAAGGCCTCGACATTGAATTATGTTCCATACTGGACTTTCTGCTTTTAACTTCACGTACTGTTGGTGGATTCGATATACAGTTTTATCATTCATGCTACCAGATGGCTAGATTTACTATCTCTGTTTCATTTTGATAGAGTCATATGCTAATTTTTTAATCATATGAAATAACATGGTCAAAGTTTTACTCTTGCCATTTTGAGTGTGTAGATGCTAGGGAGGAATGAACGTGGATCAATTGTGGGCAACAACTTGGAAAATATTTTGTTTTTTTAGCATTTAGATCAAAGTTTTAAATTTAGCTTTGAGGGAAGATAAAGCAAATGCTTCTAACTTCTTTCAAAATTTCTGACAGGCTGCTCTGGGGTAAAACTTAGAGGCATTTATTGTGTGTGTAGTTTCATTTTTTAGAGAACCAAGTTGTAAGAGTATGTCAAGAGGGTTCTGTGACCTCTTCTTCTTTTTCTTTTAATTGTATGGAGTGCCTTCAAAATAGCTGGTTTGGTCTGAGGTCCTTTAGCTTCATGTCTAATATACTACTAATCAGGTCAACTTTATCAGCTTGACAACATGCTAGGTATATCATGGATTGGGGAGCTTGTGCCTTCTCATATATTAATAAAGGGGCTACATAGGGTTCTTGTTCATCATTTGATGAAAATGACTTGTTAGTTTATGCTTGTCAGAACATGATTGATGCAGTTATTTTACGTTAAAATTGCTAGTTCTTGTTATTTTTCCATTTAAATGATTGCTAGTTCTAGTTACTTTTCCATTTACATGATCTATTGAAATGCGGGGATTTATTTGGTTTTTATCATTGCTTAATCATGCATTTTCATAATTCATTCTGAATGAAGAAAGATTCAGAAATGAAAGACAGCTAATCTATGGAATTGCATCCAAATACAGATCAAATTAAATTAGTCTTCGAAAAGATATCCCTTACTATTTGAAGTTTTGTTTGAAAATTCATTCACCACCATTTATGTACATTATGGGTTTTTGAGGTAAGTTCATGTGTGACATCACATGCTTTGACTCCAATAAAAGGGCATTGTTTCCAGCTAGTGAAATGGTTATGTCCTCTGGTGCAGAGTTACAGCTAACCTATTTAGGTTAAGTCTTTTAGCCTTTATAGAATATGGGGAATTGTTTGGTACACTTGTTTCATAAATTCCCACTTCTTAGGTATGTCAAATGTCTTCTTGAGTGGGATCCCAAAAATACCTTTGAAGGGGACGTGAGGTTCTTGAATTCACCCTGATGAGTTGTTTTTTAACTGTCATAATATGTGGGAAATAACTTTTCTCTTCCTGGTGGATTATTTCTAAAGAATTTTATTTATTTATTTTTCTATTATAGCTTTTTCAATTGTATGTTTTACTAGTGTTATCATAATTATTCTTAATAACTTGATCATCGTCATTGTTGATAATAATGCTGCTATTACTTTCCAGTCTTCTTTTTTCTATTTTTTTCCTTTTAGTGTCTATCTATCCCAAAACATTTTTTTTTTTTAAAAAAATTTCCTAATCTGTATTTGGCTTATTGTAGGTATTACTGCTTCTTGGTGCCGTTGACTCTGCCTATAGTTGTGGTTGCTGTATACTTTCATTGGCTCAGCATGAAGATGTTCAAGCATGCTTAACGTCTAATTATTCATCCGATCATTATTTGGAGCTGGAGGCACGCAGGATTTCTTTCTGCTTCAAAACTGACATTTAATTTGGTCCCTGTAAATATAATTAACACTTGTTCCCTAATCATGTCCTATGTTTCAAAAGCCTATAAATTTATCCTCATGGTTATCTTTCTTTTTCTTTTCCTTTTTCCTTTTTCCTTTTTTCTTTCTGTGTGGCGCCAATCCCTATTGTATATGAAATACTAATAATTATCTGAAGATTGAACATCATCATCGGTTGGATTCAAATGTCAAATCCCTCATTCTTTGCAGCTCCTATTTCTCAAACTTGTGTATATTTATTTTTTATTTAATTGAATCAAAATACTTTGTCATGAGAAATTAAATTTTTTTCATTAAAAAATCACTTATTTTTGGAAAATTGTTGGTATAAAAAATTTTATGATGTTTTTTAAGTTTTTAAAATAATCAAGATCTTGAGGAAAAAAACCTTAATTTTTTCTTTTTTTTTTTTTGAGAGAGATCTTCAAATACCGAGACTAAAAGCTTACTCTATATGATTGGACCAACAAGATAGTCCATGTTGAATATCATGCTATGGACAAAATGAAATGGAGATTGTTAGATCTTAATTGAGTTAGACTTGATGTTGATGGGGTAGTCAATCACGAAGGAGAAGCTGCGTGCGGTGGTCTTATTTGAGATGAGGCTAGTAATTGGAGTGGTAGGTTTATGTCGACAATGCGCTACTATCCTTACACTACAACAAAAATGATGAGCATCAATGAAGGCTTAAATCTTTGCTTGACTCTCGATTTCAAAAAAGTTAATCTGTTTTTCTGATTCCATGAAGGCCTTAGAAAACATTCAAAAAATCAGGATAGGTCTCACCCAACTTTTGAAGTTGGAAACAATATTAGGAAAATGTTTATGCATGATTGGGGAGGTTTCCTCTGAGTACATGTTTAAGGAAGTAAACAATTGTACAGATTAGTTAGCACGCAATATTATCCTCAGATCACCAACAACACATTATTATAGAACCACCTCCATGTGATTTTTTTCTTCTTATGGAAGTGGATACATGTAATTTGTTTCCTGGAATTTGTGGCAACGTTGTTATGGAGCATCTTGAAACAAAGATTTATTTACCTTCATCAAAAATTTACTTGAATAATCTGTACATGTCTATATATAACTACACTTTGAGCCATGTGGGCTATTTTGGCCTTGATGAACCTTTGGTACCAAGTCACCTAATATTTTTTATATGCCCCCAAAAAAAGAAAGAAAGAAATGAGATATCCACCAGAATGAAATCAACATAGTAAAAAGAGATTCATGATGTTTGATTTCAGATTTGCTAGTACTGATGAGTAGAACCTGGCCACAACAGAATCTTATTATTGCAAACATGAAGAAAAAGATGCTTTAAATATCTAAACAACATCCAACTCTCTTGCAGCACAGAAATAGAAAATTGAGGCCCCTTGGATGAAGCATCAATGGTAGCCTCTATACAAAGCTCTTGGAAGAATCAACCACTCTGCATACTCAACACATGTTCGGACTTGTCTTTGGAGAAAGGTCCCTTGAACATAATAGAACCAAGATCATGGTTACTTCTCTGGTTGCATGAGGATGCAACTTTATCATAGAGAATAGAGTACCCTAAATTACTCACATTCCTAAAATAGCAAAACTCATGGCTTTTGTACTTGTATACTTGTTGTGTGCTACCAAATGCTTTAACCAAAGTATCATTCTTCACAACCACAGTGCTGTGAGCATTCTGCAGATTCTTGAGAGACCTGCTTGAGAATCCGGAATCATGACTCTCATCAAATCCCAACGTGACATTTGCAACAGATAAAGAGGTTTCATTTCCTTGATTCAGTTCATCCAAGTAGAAGGATAGGGAAAATTTTCTGGAAGTTTTATCCACAAAATGGACAGGAAAGTATGGAAGCTTGGCATCAACAGTGTTATTGAAAAGGATTGTTTGGTTTGCACTTTCCATAGCCCCATCTTTCCCAAATACCAGTGAGTTCATGTAACTGAAGTCTTGAACTAAACTGGTTGTGATATTACCAAAAGAAGATATCACCCACCCAGTTGATGAAATTGATCTCCTTGCACTAGTCTGAAAATTTCCATTCAAGCCTTTATAATGTGAAACAGAGGATTCAACCAGAGGCTTGACAATGAGGTTGGAAATTTCCCCTTCAGTTTTTCTGCTCTTTCTATCCAACCAAACATGCAGATTTGCATCTATGAACCAGACATTCAAAGCATTTGTTACCCTAAACCCTAATGAGTGGGAATCTCCATCCAATATCATACCCAAAAGTGGTGTGATTTCAATATCATAAGAAGGAAGATCAAATGACCCTATTCCAGTTATGGGTCTCCACAGCAATGGCTCTATCCCTCCTGTGTAAATCACAGTAAAAGGCCAAACCCCACCAATAATCTGATCATCAAGAGTGACCAAAACCTCTCTGAATGGTCCATTCCCAGGTGTATCAGTAAGGTTGTTTGCAGCAATGTACTCATTTGGAGGATTGCCATACCAAAATTCATCTTTCTCATGATACGAAATATAGACCTCTAACACAGCCCTATAAGCATTTTGGGGGATTTTGAATTCTTTCATAGCTGTATCACTAGAATTCACAATTTCAAACCACAACCCATCACTCAAAGGAAGATTTCGTGAAACGGGTAAGATCAAATCAGCTGGAAAACCATACCCAAAAGCTAAACTTGCATCAGATTTTGGTTCATCACCAGAAAAACTCTTCACTTGAGGATAAAAGTGAAAGTAAACATCAACATGGTAAACCCCAGTGTAAGTATTGTCCACAAGATTTCCCAAATAAACAGCAAGGAGGTGATCATCACTCATGAGCAACGAAGAGTACCTAGTGATGTCCTTTTTAACAGTCCAAACAATCCCAGTAGGCCTAGGCTCCGCCGTACAACTCCGAAGCAGCTCAACCCCACCGAGCCACACACCGAAAATGCGATCGAATTGGATTCCTCTACAAGTCGCCTTCCACTCGAGAACAATCTTGGAAAACTCGCGAGGGCAATGTTTGGGAGGACTGTAATTAGCGAAAACTGGGGGTTTTCCATACGTGAAGCCAAAATCGTGATGAAGTATGCGGTATGAACAAGGCTTTGTTTGAGGGAGTTTAATGGGTTTGGTTACCTCGAAGAACTCAGTCGGTGAGGTATCATTCGGGGAAGATCCGAGTTGAGCAAGATGGTGTGGTCTGAGATGCTTGATTTTGTGAAGATTAGTTGCAGAACTGGGGTGTCGAAAACTCAAGAGGACGAGGGAGAAGAAGAGAAAGATGAAAGAAAAGTTCATCTCTGTGGTCTCAAGTATGCACCGTGGAAGTGGAAGTTGCTCTGCATTGAGCTAAATTCATATGCGATTGCTTCATTGGCCTGTTTATAGGATCCGAGCTCGACAAGAGTCAATGCAAAGTCCATGCCTCGATGGATTTAAATATTAGAGAAAAATAATTAATTAAAGAAACTTAATTAAATATAGTAATTATATTTAAAATAAAAATATTAGATTAAATTATTTCCATAATTAATAAAATAAATCTGTCTCGTGAATATAAATATTGATTTTGTAAAAAAAAATTAAGAACAATGTAATAAATGTTTATTAAAATTTGTAATTTTGCTTGTAAAAAAATAAGGAGGCAGGTAAAAGTTTCTCTTGAAATTAAAAAAATAAAAGTGGAGGGAGTAAGAATCTTGAGACAGGGTTTAATATTGAATCAATTTTGAGCTTTGATCGGGTGCTTTGTTTCATTGATCATATATGCAACCACGGCTGTTATATAAATACTTAAATAGAAAGTAGTGTGTTCAATCCCACTCATAAATATAAGCTATTAATGCTTGCCTTTCTAGTTAAAAAAAAAAAAAAAAGAGCTTAAGGCATTCCTGGATTATGAAATTGCTGTTGGTAATGACAGTTACACACAACAAAAATCTGAATTAGTTGAGCAAGTAGTAATAATGGCCAAATTTTTTAAGATACAGGTAATGGAATAAAAAAAAAAACTAAGAAGAGTTTACATTTTTTTGTAAGTTGTTTAAGTAAATCAAATGATTAAATTTTGCTCGAAGTATTCCCAGCACAAACTAAAGAGATGCATAGGTGGTTAACTGAGTCTTCCAAAACACAACTGAAGGTGACATGAATTTATTTAATGTCAAGTAATAGCCTCTTATGGCATCATAAAAATTGATGATAATACAAATAATTAAATCACAATTCACAAGAAGGACTAAATATAAAGTGGAATCAAAAGCTTTAAGATGATTTTATTTAAGTCATACCTATTCTAATTTATATATATTCATTTAATTATACCTGTCATTTACTATTATCTGTTCAATAGAAAAATGAGGATTATTTTTTACTCACATTTTCATTCTCTTTAATTTTCTTTTATTTCACATGTGAAACATACGTATAATCAATCATAAATTCATTCTGGCAAAAAAAAAAAAAAAATCAATCATAAATTCATAATTGCCACCATTTTTAGGTCATATTTAATTTAATGTAATAAGTTTCTCCCAATCATTGATTTACTTCCTAAAATTTAATTTTTATCGATTCAAATCCCTAAATTTTAATAATCATGCACAATTAGTTTTTTATGATTTGAAGATATATAATAACTAAACACATTAACACGTATGTGATATAACCTTTAACTTAAGGATGACAGAATCGTCCTGAATTTCTCTCCATTATTCTTTCTATTTCTTATTTAGCTTCTGATTCCCTCCTAACTTCTAATACTCGGTTCACTCACCAGGTTTATTAATTTTTAATTTATTATCTGTTGTTCATTTTCTTTTCAATATTATTTGCCTTATATTAAAAAGAAATACTAGTCAAATTGAGATTAATAAAAGTATAAAACTATGAAATTGTGGGTGAAATTTTAAGAATTTAATTGATAATATTAAATTTTAAGGACTAAATTTAATAACAGAAATAAATTTGAATGACAAAAATAATTTACTATCCCATATAAATATAATAAAAAAATAATCACGACTCTAACTTTCACTGCTACTTTTGGGGGACAATCTTACCACTGCCTTTCTACTTTTATATCAAAATAATTTATCTTTGTCTGGCCTTTAAAAATAAGGGACCTTCAATTTATTTATTTATTATTGGGTCCTCCCTTTCTATATTTTTGTTTTACTCCCACAACAACTTTTGTGAAAGCTCCCCTCCCCCAAA